ATATTGCATCATACTGTATTTTTCTAGTATTAACTATTACTGCAACCATATAAATACATGCGTAATCCTGGGGATTGTCCTTAAATTCAGTAACTTGTAAGCGGGAATTGCTTGGCTCATGGGGACTGGTAATAAACTTAGAGGATCTTACATTACAGAAAAACTAAAACTGAATAGAAATGTAAGTGCAATAAAAAGGGTATCTGATGTTAATTTGCATGTCAAGAAGCATTGAGGACTTGCAGCCAATGCTTTGTAACACTGAAGTCACCAGGCGTTTGGCCATTGTCTTCAATGGAAGCAAGATTAACTCTAGATGTATTAAACTAAAACAACTAAGTTTAATTGAGACGAAGTTGCATTTTGTCAAGTTAAGATGCAATGAGCGCCAGGAATTCTGTATTCCGAACCAGGTGGGGTGAAAGGCGACACCCTGATTGATATTGGCAGTGGCCCCACCGTCCACCAGCTCCTCTCCGCCTGCGAGTCCTTTAAGGAGATCACCGCTTCAGACTATACAGACCAGAACCACCAGGAACTGGAGAAATGGCTGAAGAATGAGCCAGAAGCATTTGACTGGACTCCAGTGGTGAAATACGTCTGTGAGCTAGAGGGAAACAGGTACAGGGGCTGGAAAAAGCAGATTGTCTAAAGTCCTTGAGTATTGCTTAGTCTGTCTGTGCAGCATCATCTACTTATATTGATCTGCTGGAAGCTGCAACATAATCAGTGGTGAATACAGGCAGAAATTTTGGGGAGAAAATAAAGAGCAGGGGGAACGTGGTTTTCAGTCATTGTAGGAGTCTGAATAGGGTCCCCAGGAGGTCTCAGCATCAAAGATCTTGGAGAGAGCTATCGACTGATAATGGCATTTTCCCGTCTGAAATGCAGAGGCAAGAGTAAATTCATCTGGTTTCAGATTTTTTAAAAATCCAAAATTCAGACAGAGGGTCCACTGAAAAAGTAGCCAGAGCTCATGTCCCGTGGAAAGGGAACTAAAGATAAAGTTAACACAAGGTCCTACAAACACACATCACTCTAGCGAATTATGTTTTCCTTCTAATACTCACACCTAGATCATAGAAACACACTGAAATTGCAGGTAACCCTTTGGAGTCCATCTTGTATTGTATATGTGTATGTCTCTGCAGGGGAAAGGAGGCTGAGAAAGAGGCAAAATTAAGGAAAAACCATCAAACAGGTTCTAAAATGTGATGTCCACAAAAGCAACCCCATGGATCCAATTGTCCTGCCTCCAGCTGGCGGCCTGGTCTCATCACTGTGCTTGGAATCTGCTTGCAAAGATCTGACCACTTATCGCATTGCTCTGAAGAACATCAGCTCCCTGTTAAAGCCAGGAGGGCACTTGGTGCTGAGTGGAGTTTTGGGCTGCAGTTTCTACATGGTTGGCCCCCAAAGGTTTTTTAAGACTGAGCTCCTCAGAGCAAGGATTGTTCCTTTCTAGGTGTCTGTGCAATGCCTAGTCCACTTGGCTGCTACTGTAATACCAGTACAGATACTAACACTGCAAATGCTGGGTACCTATTAACCTAGCTAACCATGCATTCCCCTTAGGAGATGGTTGGGTTTTTTTGCTTTGGCTTTTGCTCAGTGCCTTTCAGCCTGTATATTACTACAGCAGATCAGGCAAACCTAACCCGGTGATCCAGCAGGTGATGTGGCTGCAGGTCTTTTTGTCTTTGACTTTTCCAAGGAAAGCACATTCCCGGCCCCACAGCCAGCGCTGACACCTTCCTTCTGGCTCCCAACATTCTACTACTAACAGTCTCTCAGGGCAGAGCAGCCCGGGTGGTTCACAGACGATGAGGCAGTTCCTGAGTGAGCCTCTCAGATCCACATTGGAAAAGAGCGTGTGTGTGTGTGGTGGGGCGGTGATTGGGCACCACTCCCACCCCAGGCTGGGGGCACTGCTGTGCCTCAGTTCCCCTCCTTCTTAGCCCCCTGAGGCACTCACACACCCACCACAGGTGATTCAATATAATCCTCCCCCCTCCGATCCCTGCTTTATTGATCCAGAAACAAAAACACAACAACCAGTTCACTTGGCTCACCTAAGCATAATCTGTTTTGTTGTCATCTTTGCAATTTAAACATGAGTGTCACAATCTTTGGTGTTTTCTTAAAGCTCCACCTGCTGGAGTCATCTGATGATGTGAGAATCTCAGCTTTCTTTTTTTGGAGGGCTGTGGGGAGGGGGGGCAAGTAACTTTCTAGCCCTCATGGTTTTGGGAGGAAACCCTGAAAAACACAACCTGACATTACCCAACAGGCTCAGCAAGCTAAGAAAAAGGACCCAGCATATAGTATTATTATTTTCAAGGCTCTTGATTTTAAAGCCTATCATGATTTTTTGGGGCCTTGTGGTGCATCCATGCTTGGGGTTGGCCATACTGCTTTCCTTTGTCATTAGGGTTTCCCAGGAGAGTCCTGCTACCCTTCTTCGCAAGTCTCTCTTATGCCATTCACCTAGTTAGTGTGAAAACTTTCCCACCTGGTTCTCTTTCCCCAGCGCTCTCAGAAACAGAGCGTGTGGGGCGGGCAGCCCCTCTTATAGCAGGGGTGCTTCCAGCCTGGACTCAGGTGATCCTAATCTCATGCTCTTAGGCAGTCCTGTGCTCCCCCTGCTCAGGTTTTCACCAGCATCGGCTCACCCCACCCTTCAGAGGAAAACCAGGACAGTTAGAGATATGCCCAAGCTGCCTTCAAGGGCGAGCTCACCTTATGATGGGGCCACAGGGAGGAGATGGAACACAGAAGCCAATGTACGCAGGGCTTCCCTAGAACAGATGGTGCCCCAGGTGAGGAGTGTCCTCAGCGTCCCCTCCCACCCACATTAGTTAAACTTTTGAATACCTTACAGCACCCTGAGCTCGGCACCCTCCCAATCCCGGTACCTGGGTCACCTGCCCTTAAATCTGGCTCTGAATGTATGTATTCCTCTCAGATTGTCACCTGCACTCCTGCCCCAGATCCCTGGCTTGTGAAGTGTCCTCAGAGCATCAGTCGAACCTGTTTATCCAAGAACATAACACGAGGACGAGTCGGAGGTTAATCTAACTAATTGCAAATTACCCAAGAGAGTCAGGCAAGGGAACGTGGCTTAGTGGCACGTAGTCCTAGTCCACTTTCTCTGAGGTAAGATGAGGGGTTAAGTAACAAGTGCAAGAGCAGTAAAACCGTTTAGATACAAGCGATGTCAGGGCAGTGCTTTGATAAACAACATATTTCACTTGACCTCTTCCCTCCTGTGCAGCTGGGACGCTGACCTGGTCGAGGCTGAAATGGAAGGGGTGCCTCTTCGGACATGAGGCCAAAGTCCCTGAGGGCTTAGTTGACTTTGGTGGAGTTACGCCACCAGCAGAGAATTTAGCCCAATGCTCCTTCTACAGAGAGGCTCCTTTCCAGCCAAGCTGGGCATACCCGTAGGTGGCTACCTGGGGCCTTTGTCTCAGTCATGGGGATTGGCGCAGGTCAGAAGTTCCCTTTGCCAGACTGGGTTGAGTGCCACAGATTTTGGGGCAGTTCTCCCAGGGGAATTAGCCAGCAGAGTTTTAGGCCCGGATCCACAAAGGGACTTGGGCGTTGCAGCATTCGGCATCATGGCGACTAACCTTTAGATGCCTAGAAAGTCACAGGAACAACACGGCGATCCACCAATGCAATGAATAGGGAGAGACAGGCCTCTTTGAACGGGAGCCACCAACGCCAGAATGCTAAGCACGGAGCTGCCCAAGCTAGTCCAGGGGAAATGCTGATGACAGGACAGAATGTATGTAACTGTACAACCAGCTCACCACAATGTCCCCACCGCTCCCATGTACTGCTTGTTCCTGGTTTGATTGTGATACATTTGAGTATCTTGCAGCGGTGCCACCATCATGGGCTATGGTGGCATCAGAACCTACAAGCAGAACCATGCTGGGATGAACGGTACCTGTCCAGTAGCTAGAGAGGGGCAGGAGATGATGCAGTTCCCTCTCTGCCGATAGCCAGGGCTCAGAGGGGAGCCAGAGTCCACAGGAAAGGCCATGGAATCCCACTGTTACTCACTGGCATCCCCCAAGAGAAGTACAGAGAAAAATCAGCCCAGGGGAGAAAAGAGTTCAAGGGTCATGAATGGTTGGGGAGACACTGGAGTTTGGGGCGGTGATGCTGTATGGAATATGGGTTTATAATAATTTATAATATTAACAGCAATATTACAAATTGGAATGAATCATGCTAGATATCTTGTGTAAGGTATCAGTGAACATGTTCTGATTTGCCAAGTCTAATAATCTTCTTTATGTTTGTATTGCCTTTGTATTGTGACTTAGAGATATGTAGGGTATACCTGTATTTCCAAACTTGTGCTGTGTTTCAGGGTGACACCCCCAGGCAGTTTGACATCAGCACTGCCTAGCCTGTTTGATGGTCCATCAAGGATCATCGGCTGTACAATTGACCCATTGAGAGAAGGCAACGGATATATCTTATGAGTCAGCAAGGCATGTAGTAACTGGTGTAACTTTTATACAAACAAAGCTCTAAACAAAGTACTGAAAGACCCATCCAAGCTGTGGATGTGTTCCAGAGGGACTTCCAAGCCAGCAAACTCACCAATACACCCAAGAACATGATATATGGACTTGGAAGTTTCTATATGTGTTTGAGTGCTTTATCATTTAACAACTCTTTATAATAAACGTTTAGTTTTAGACACTAAAGGATTGGCTGGCAGCATGGTATTTTGGGTAGGATCTAAACGAATATTGACCTAGTAACGTGGCTGACCCTATGGGATCAGAAGAACATTTGGTATATGTGAGCAGAGTTTTTAAATGTCTTCTCCCTGTACTGGACCTAGGTGCTGATTGAGAGCCAGAGAACTGGAATGGAATTAGGGGACTGGGGGGGGATTTTTTTTTTTAACTTCTTGATAACCAGTGTGGGAGATCAGAAGTACTGTCTGTGACTGGTTGGTGAGTTTAACTTCAGTGTTAACCACTAGTTTGGGGAGTCTCTGCTCTCCCTTCTGCAACCTACCCTGACCTTGGCATTTTCAGTGAGGGCAGCCCCGGGCACCCTGGGTCATAGGGGCGTGTGAGGGAGTTGTGAAGAAGGCCTGTAATCTGATATTTGGACAAAAGAAGGCGGAGCCATGTCCAGGAAGAGCTGAGGAACCCCATATTAACCCAGGTCGGGAACAGCCAGGCAGTTGAACATCTGCAAACTCAGAGACAAAATGGACCAGAGCCGCACTAAGAAAGAAGATTTGGAGAAACTTTTGGATCCGAAAGAGTTTTTGAAAACGTATTATTCCTTTGACTCCACAAGCAGTGAAAAAAATGATATTTTGATGTTTTTTCTGAGAATCTTCTTTAAGACCTTCATTTTGGGTGAGTCGGGTGTGTTTTGTGCCATTCAGTTTGCACAAAGGCTGTTTTATAGTGGGATGCGTGTTGCTGGAATCATGATTGTGTGGATCTGGATTTCTTTTAGCAGAGGAGATTTTCCCTAGTTATCTTCTACCCCTGCTTTATGGCGTGATGGGCCACAGCTGGTCATCCTCATTACAAAAGCCTGGCACAATAGGTGCATTTGAGAGTAGTATTGTCCTCTAGTGTGTGCAATGACAACACTGGGCTGTGCTAATGACCTAGATGGGTCTCCCAAAGTCAATAGGATAGTCTGAGATGAAGCATAAAATGGGGGCCACTACAGGCTGAAGAATCAACAGCGGAGAAGGTGCACCTGGATCGTGGCAGCATGGAAGAGGGGAGAGGAATGGGGGGTGGGGGGAGAGCATGCATCAGAGCTTGTGCACAGGGTCCTGTAGGGTGCAGTGGTTGGCGACATCACCGGTGACAGCGGTTATGGCACAGACCAGGACAGAGCAAATCCTCGTTTACTAGTTTGTGCCTTAAGTACAGTCTCCTACAAGATTGACCAGCTCCTCATCCCATGCAGTAGAGCTCTGTGCCATTCCCCAGCAAGCCCTGATCCCAGCATTGGGATGACTAATGGCTGGTGGTAGATCAGAAGCCAGCTCGTGCCACTGAGCCAAGAGTCGCCAGTCAAGGAGCTCCCCAGCGGTCCCCAAAAGAGGGACTTTCTCTCAAGCTGTTCGTGTGTCTAGGCTTGTGGGCCCATAGAATGTACTTTTAAAGCTACCTGGGCTGTGTGAGTATTGCTAACTCCAAGCCAAGTGAGCTTAAATAACAGATGTTAAAAACAACACATCTTGGGTTTTGTTTCGGTGCCTTCTGGATTTTGAGCTTTTCAGGTTGTTATTTTTTTAAGCTTTCTCCACAACTCTTCATGCTAGAAACTAGCTTTAATTGAATTTATTTATTCAAAGGGAAGATGAGATGAGATCTCCCGGTGCCAGCTTTAAGAAAGATATGGACAAATTGGAGAGGGCCCAGGGGAGATCAAAAAAAAAAGAGAGAAGGCTTAAAAATCTGACTTCCAGGCAGGATTGGCAGAATTCAATATTAATTTTTTTATACTTTCAATGGATAAGATCAATGTTTATTTTTAAGCGTCTTTATTTTTATTGATTTAAATTTTCACACTTGTGGGAAATTATATGACACTCAGGTTGGGGGAGTAAGACAACAATTATTTAATGTCAGTAGACGCTGAGATTTAAAAGTTAAAGTTTTATAACCTTTAAAACACCAATTGTCAATATCACATGCCAAATATTTTACAGCTAAACATCCTTAAATCCAAGTCAAATAAGTTCTGGAGCAGGATTTCTCTTACTTTGGCTAGCTGTATATTTCAGTTATTATCAATGGAAATGCTTTTTAGTCAGTTTGTGTGTATGTGGTGAAATCAACGTTTATTGACGTTTACCGATACAAATCTAATCCTTTTCAACCTGCTTATAAGGCAACCTCATCATACCGTCCCCTCCATAAACTTATCAAGCTCAGTATTGAAGCCAGTCAGGGGTCCTTCGCTGCATTTTACCTCTCCTGGAACTGGCCTTCTTAATACCCTTTATAAACCAGAGGGGAAATTGTCCAGCTTGTACCCTTAGCCCCCCAAACCTCCTCCTCTCCCATCCTCTGCTGCTGTATGTGCTGATACACAGGTATTTTGCATTCCAAACCAGATGGCGTTAAAGGCAACACCTTGATTCGAATTGGCGGTATGCCCAGCATTCTCGAACTCCTTTCTGCCTGTGAGTCCTTCAAGGAGATCATCGTCACACAGAACACGGATCGGAACTGCCAGGAACTGCAGAAATGGCTAAAGAAAGAGCCGGGAGCGTTTAACTGGACTCCACTGGTGAAATACGTGTGTGAGCTGGAAGGGGACAGGTACGGGGAGGAGACCTAGTTCTGTTACAATTCACCTAAAGAAAATATGTAAAAATCCCTTTTAATTTGTGGATCTTCCTTCTCTGGGGTGCTTTTTTCCTAATAATTGTTATGTATTATGGTGGTATTCAATACGTATAAAAAGAAAGAAGTGGATTGGATAGAAGTAAAGAGAAAAATTTAACTCCTGGAACCAGGACTCCCCTCCAGCTACCGCTAGCAAGGGATTCCTCTGAATTCAGCAGACTCAGAGCTTGAACTTGCAATGCTTACAAGAGGAAGGTTTACTCCTACAAGGGTAATTCCCTCCACCCCCCAACCAGCAGAGTGGTGAACACTTCAGGATTAGACCCCCCTTCACTCCCATTTTAGCCTTCGAAATGGGCCATAAGCACTAGATGTTCCAAACAGCTGAGCACACTGGGGGCTGAGCTCCGTAGATTATTGACCACACTTTATATAATCTTCCATTTATATGAGTGGGCTATAAAGGGTGAATAAATGGTGAGTACATGTTTTAATAACGGGTTAGTCTATTGCTGAAAAGTGTTACAGGGCCCAACAGATGAATAACGATTTACACCATTTTCTACAGATTTGCTGATAACCAAACATTTACGACGCATAGTATT